GTTTTTTTTCTAATTGTTCAAAGTCAATGTTCTTGTTAGGTATGGACACCTTCCACTCAAGAATGGAGGACCTTTCCACCAGAGATCAGCATCATGCAGCTTGTCAAAATTCAGTCCTCGGGAAATAAGGTCTGCTGGGTTCTCCTCTGAAACGCACATAATTCCCACTGGCATGTCTGTATGTTAGCTCTTGGATCTTGCAACACTCGATTAGCAACAAAAGTTTTTAGTACATGTGGAGGATTCTGAAGCCACGCTAACACTATGGTTGAGTCACACCACAAGACATATTTTACTGATGTCCAATTTCAATAAAGGCACCACCTTTGCAACAAGCTGTGCTAGCAGTACAGCTGCGCAGAGTTCCAGTCGAGGTACTGTCAAGCGGTTTTAGTGGAGCTACTCTGGACTTGCTGCAAAGCAAATGTGAAGATAAATTATTGTCACTTCTACAGCGTAAATAGATGGCTACTCTACGTATGCGTGTTCTGATGCATCTGAAAATCCATGAATTTGTATATCAGAAAAACTATCCTGTAAAACATATCTACTGACTTTCAAATTGTTGATAGATTGCATTGAATCAATAAAAAGTTGCCAATCCTTAATTATCCTTTCGGGTAGCGGATCGTTCCAATCAAGCTTCAATAACCAAAGTCTTTGGATGAAGATTTTTGCTTTTGTTATCCCTGGACCAAGCAGTCCTAATGGATCATAAATGCGAGCAATATCAGACAACACTGTTCTCTTTGTGTAAGTAGTTGGTTTCTTGATGGTTGATTTGTACGAAAAACAATCTATCTTTGGATTCCATAATAATCCTAAAGTTTTGATGCTCTGATCGTCATCGAAATTACTGAAAGAATATTCCTCTTGTCCATCCGGAAACTGCAAAAGATCAGGATGATTAGCACACCATCTGTGCAGACGCATTCCTCCATGTGATAATAGGTTAATCAATTGCGACTGTAATTCTTTAGCCTCTATTAGAGTATGGGCTCCTGTGAGTACGTCATCGACATAAAAATCCCTTTGTACTATTTGTGCTGCTAATGAAAAACTGTTTCTGTCATCCTCTGCTAATTGGATTAAGTGTGTGTGTGTGTTGCTAGATATGGTGCGTTGGAAGTACCGTAAGTTATAGTCTTCAGTCTATAGACTTTAACTGGTTCTTCTTCACTACTCTTCCATAAGATGCGTAATAAATCTCTTTTATGTTCTTTAATCAAAATCTGACGATACATTTTTACAATGTCTGCTGTGAAGGCAATTTTATGCGTTTCGAAATCTGCAAATAATATCAAATAGTTCGTCTTGAACTAACCCTCCATTCAGCAGAATATCGTTTAACGAAATTCCAGTAGTCGTAGGAGCAGTGGCATCGAACACTACCCTAAGTTTAGTGCTAGGTTTATTCGGGCCTGAAAACCCCATGGTGAGGAAGATAATATGAGAAACTAGAGCTATCCCTTCATCAAGTTTCTTTCGGAATGGCCTAATTCATTATATTCCTTAATGAAATCTTCGTATAAGGTTTCATTGCGGGATTGCGAGTGAAGCGTTTAAGTAGATAATTCAGTCTTTTGCTAGCGTTTTCTCTCGATTCGCCTAAAGGGCTAAGTCCTTCCTCCTTAATTGGCATTTCCACACTACATATCTGCCGTCATCTTGCCTCGCTGTGTGTACGAAGAAAGTGCTGTTCACAAAATTCCTCTTCCTGACTTTTCATTTTTTTTTGCTTCATTAATACCTTCAATCTCCCAAACCTTCTCATATTGTCAGATAAATGATCCCCAGTTTCCACAAACCTTTAACAATAATTATCAACACTGCCTTGCTGCGGCATGCGCACTGACCCGCTAACGATGTATCCAAAAACTGACTGATGGAGAATCAGGTCTTGCATATTTATTCTATTTGTTCCCAGTAAATCAAAAAATATTTCGTTAGATAATAAAACATGTATTTGACCAGGTTTATAAAAACTCTGGATCAGCTAAACCAATGAGTTGCAACTGCTTAACATCAGGAATGTTTATATATCTAGCAGGCGTTACGCGAGTTATTTTTGGAACAACAAAAAAATTGTAAGGTACGAATAAAATCTCTAGTAGCGTTAGCGATGGTTGCTATAGCTTTTTCCTTAACACCCATAACTGTACCATTGATACCTGAAATAGAAGCGTTTATTTTTCTTTTCTTCAAATTCAATAACTCAGCACCTTGTTTAGTAATGAAATTATTTTGAGAACCGGAATCCAGCAAGGCTCTCAGCGAGATAAATTTTCCATCATTACCCTTAACGAAAATAATTGCAGTTGAAAGTAGAACTTTTATTAAAAGAACTGGAAATATTCAGCGCAGTACCGTTAATGGACTTTGCTTGGTTTGGTTTCATTAGTGTCACTAACCTTTTGGATGTTTGCCATTGGAGTAAATGTATCAACATTTGGAGAAAGATTACTACTTAATTTATTAGTCTTGTTTGTGATTTGATTCGATGTGCCGTTTGCTCTATCGAAATTTTCTTCATTTCGATCAAAATGTAAGAGCGAATTGTGAAATTTCTGACATTTTCTGCATGTATTAGAACTTTTACAGTCCTTGATTGTATGGACCGAAGATAAGCAATTGAAACATAATTTTTTTTGTCTTTACAAATTCCAATCGTTTCTTGACTGTTAGATTTAAGAATTGTGCACATTTCAACAATAAATGATCAGCTTTACAATAAGGACAATTTTTTGAATTTTCCGAAAGTGATGTAAGAGCTTTGGTATTAAATGACGTTTCGATTCCCCATGCGGAGGTTTGTAATGTGATAGGGTGCGAGCGTGTTCCTTCAAAAAACATGTCAGTTGTTTAACCTGTTCCTATTCTCGTCTTTTTTAAAGTGACCTTTCCCACCAACACCGAGTATTTCTATCCAACTTTTCAACTAATAATATAAACAATTAACGTGTCTGAAAATTCTTCCACCTTTTGCTCCAATGCTTCCAAGGATCGTAAACATTCATGCACCTTATCGATAAATTTTAAAAGCGACGAAGTAGAATCACTCGTTTGAGGTATAGAAATTAATTTCTTTATGATAGAATTGATCAAATCTTTTTTGTTGCTATAGCGATCAACCAACAGATTCCATGCTATGTCATAATTCGAATCTGAAATTGGAATGGACTGAATAATATTTAAAGCGTCTGCCTTACACGAACTCTTTAAATATTGCAATTTTGCGCATTAGTTAATTTGCTATTTTTATGCACAGCTGCGGAAAATAAATCCTCAAATTCAATCCATTCTTCGATTTTCCCACTAAATATTGGAAGAGACAATTTAGGCAATTTTACATCCGAAACAATTATGTCTTTACTCGAACCGTTTTCATTTGAGCAGCTATTCCTTTGAGAAACGGATCTCAGAAATTTTTCTTTTAATTTTCAAATGAATTTCATCGAGATTATCTACTACATTTTCCTTTTCCCTTAATGAATTCGTCAGTGTCCTTTTCTTCACAATGTGCAAATAAAGAATCGAAAATGTTACTTAATTCCTTTTTAAATTCTAATATTTTTGATTCGTATAACTCCAATAAGGAAATATCTGCTTCATCCACTGTAGAATTTACCTTATTTTCAAACTTTCTGATACTGCATTTTTTAAAACTCTTTTGTTAGCTTTAATTGCTTTCAATCACTCATCATGAACAAATAAATAATTTATCACTTACCCGTGATTGCAGATTTCTCGACAGCAACACCGGAAATGAACGATGACACAGTATTCCAATCTTAATTGCGTAATCCACACGAAAACGAAAGCATTCCAAACACTCTATATGAAGTTATGCGTAATACAACCAAACGAAAGTATTCTAAATGTTCTAAAAAGTTAATTTTAGCAACATATCTTTTACCTCCGGCTCGACGGACCAAAAGTGTTTTCATGCGATGCGAAGCATGATGGCAAATTGCGTTGTTATACAACAATTCAAATTAACTAGAAGTGGACTGTACTAAATATTTTATTCGACAACTTTAATCAAATGCGTGCCATCTTTCAAGCGATGACTTACTACTAACAACAACAGCAATAAAAAATAAAACTGAGTAAGCGTTTACAGGGTTGCTGTAATGAACATCTGCGCCATGCAAGGCGCCAAGAAGAGAAAAAATGACGTAATCTTACAGTTAAATAGTCTTAATGACTTAACAAGTATGTAGAATCTTATTTTTAACAGTCAGTGTAGATCATTTGCAATGCGCTGGGTTCTTACTGGATAGCTAACAAGTGCCCAGAATTTTTCTTAATTATATTTCAGTATATTGTGCACTACCATATAGTTATTCATTTGTTTTCTTCTTCATTCTTTTTTATTTTAATGATTTGATATCGACATAAAATAATAAATAGTCTCTAAATAGAGAATAAAATTCTTTGCTGAAGACAAATTAAGCAGAAGTTTCCTTAAATTAAGTTATGATAAAACTCTTGATCATTTATGTCATGCAGGGAATTTTAATAATGACTAATTGAATACAGATTTCTTAAATATCTGTATTATACATTTGTGCAAATTCTCTCATTTTATCAGGCATTTTCTTTTATCTGGCATGTATTTTTTCTTGTTCTAAAGTTACTGGAAGGCTTATAAGACTAGCTTGTTTAGCATGATACTGTTCATGTAAAACTTCTGTAAACATAACCTATGTGTATAAGTGGTCTGTAAATAGTAATTCTGAAATCTAAAAATTTAACATCTTGAAAGAAAGAAATTATTTTATAATTTTAACACATGGAATCGGAAATGCCCTGTATGTAACCCTGGATTCATTTGGTGATCTTTTTTGTATTTCAAACTACATTTAGTACCTAAAATTGTTTTATCATAGTCACTATTACTTGTGACTGTTTATTTATTTTAATAAGTTGTATTTAAATTCTGGACTACACTATTAATTCCCTTTATCAAACTTCAGACTAAATTATTCCAATTTTAGGTTATAAATGTGATTCAAAAACTGAATTGCGATCCTGGTGTGCATGGAATAATAGCCGAGGTAATATTTTAAGTTACTGTTAAGCTAATTTTGCTTTTTAATGTGTATATATAAGTTTGATTTGTATTTTTAATATGAAAGATAAATTTCTGCCTAGCAGAGCACTGCATTTTTTATGAATTAACAGAAGTTAATGTTTTATTGGATTGTTCATTAGAATAATTGGATACATATATTTTTAGTATATTTTCAATTAATATATAAGCTAATCATTAAGTCTGACAGTATAAATGAAGCATAATTTTATCGATATGTGTTCTCTAAATTTTTTTTCACTTATGTTATTGAAACTAATGCATTCATTTAAAATTTTTTATTTTTAGTGGAATAAGTATTCATGATGTGAACTTTCTTTTCAAATGCATAAAACAGTGTTCATAAAAATTATTAAGAATTGTATCAGGTGCTAAAATTTGCTGTGTTACAATCTAATGTTATTGTTAATGATTCCATTTTTCTATAAAGTGATATTTTTAATTAAACTCTGAATTACTTTTCCTGTATAATATGCTATGATTTTTTTTGCAAATTTTATTTTTTAAAATCACTCTTTAAATGGTTTAATACTCATATTCAATGTAATGCCTTTCTTTATAATAATGTTTATTATTTCATAGTTAAATTAGGTATTAATTAATATGCAGTATACACAGTATGTTATTAAGGTAATTACTTTTTTAGTGAAGCATTTACTTAAAGAAAGAACACTTTATTCTTTTAACATTTAAAAGAATGATCAAATTGCATGTAAATTTTGACTATATAATTTATTAAAACCATTTACTTTTACTAAAGAAATAAAATTCTAAAAAATATTGATTTAAAATAGCTTTAAAAGTATTTTTTAGTTTGATAAATTATACCTTGATAAGTATGTAATATAATGCTCATAGGAAGGAAATCAGATATTTATTTCTGGGTAACAAAATAAAATGTTTTTCTTATTTTAATTATTTTTGCATGTGGATTTTTATTTATTTTTGGAGCAGAATAAAAGATAATCAAGAAATTTAATTTTCAAGTTTTTTAACTTTTAATTGAAATTACATAATACATTTCATCATAACTGCTTAAATGTAAATAATTTCACTGCTTGGGAGCATTTAACTGTTAATTTCTAATTATAGATCTTCTATAACAGCACATTTTAGAATTTCCTTAGAATTAACAACTTTTAATGTACTTAATAAAATACAATTTAATGTGATTGTATATAGACTTTTCTTTGTTAATTTGTCCTTAATGTAGGATTATCCATGTGCAAAAACCTAGTAATGCACGCCTTTTTTACGAGAAAATATTGCCATTCTAAAATACTTTAATTATTTTTCTACAAATTTTTATGAACTTAGAACATTTTATTTTATACATTATAATTTTCATTAACTTGCATGATAACATTTCTGCATAGCCTTTGGCTAACTTAGCTTAGCTTTAATTTGTATTCCTTAATTTTTGAGTTACAACATAAATGCTGCCTGGTTTTGTAAGCACAAGAAATGCCTTCTATTCTACTACTTGAGTTCTTAATAAAAGGGTCTTTTACACACTTTTCATGTTTCTGTTTGATTAGCAAGACATAGTGATAATTCGTTTAGCTCTTCAAGAATTTCCAAAGAGTAAGACTCTGTAAACTCAGAATTACTAACATGAATTTGGCTACGTCCCCTCACTTTAAACTGAACTTCTCACTTAAAAAACTAATTTCATCACCATTGCCATAAGTTCTTGCCCAATCACCATTCAAAACTTAAACAAAGGATTCCGATCTTATGTATAGTCCCTGCTGAACTGCACAGTCACTTTTTTTACTAACTTTTGCTTGGCTAGCTCATATCTCATTACTTTGCTATATTGTTCATTTTTTCAAAATGTGATAAGTGTATATAGAATTTTGAGGTGTTTGTTGCACTCATAGTAATGTGAAAAGGGGGGGGAATATGTTCTAAGAAATTATTTTTCAAAAAAGTAAAATTATGTGTTTTGTTATCTACAAAGCATTTAAAGTCTAAGTTTCTTCTTTGATGAAGCAATTACGGTAGCATCATATATAACCGCTCTCTATCAGAAATAGTTTTAGGTGGCTTAAGAGCCTATAAATTGCATAAATGTTGCTTTTTATGATTTCGTTCTTTTAAAACAATTACCTACTTTTTTTTTTCTTTTGTGATTTAGAATCTCATATTAAGATTGAATGAATATTTCTCATGCACAGAATTATATTAAAAAAAAGAGAGAGAAAGTTCTGATTGCTATATTTTTTGTATTATGTATGTTGTCTTCAAATGTCATGTCAAATGAGAGAGAGTTGAGTTCTTTGAGTTGATTGCAACTTTTATGTAAGAATAGTAATCCAGTTTTTCTTAAATTTAAGCTTATGATAAACTTTTAAAGTAAGTATACCAACATCTCCATAAATATACCAACATTATAAATACCATATATTAATATATATATATAATATTTTAATATATATACCAACCATAAATGTACCAACATTATAGTGCTACAATTATGAGTTCATATTTTGTCTGAAATCACACATGTTCGCCAATGTGTATGCCATTTGTTATAATATCAGTATCAAACCAAGCTCTAATATTGAATATAGGTATAAATTACACATAGTTGGAACCAACAGGAATGCATGAACAATGTATAATACACAATAATAATAACATTATGCAATTCTTTTAACTTGGATATCAATTATTAAAATAAGAAAATATGTTCTTATTTCTTTAGTTCTGTTTCATTTGTAATTATTATTATTATTTTTTTTTTACTTGTTAGCAGGGCTGTGGAGTCGGTAGGGAAAATGACCGACTCCAACTCCTGGAACTTTAAAGACTCCGATTCCCTTATATATATATATATGTAAGATAAAAATGTATGAATCAGAATTATAATATAACTATAAAAATTAATTCTTCCTCTCTATTCTAAAATCGTAATAACTTATCTGCATTGCGTCATTCAAATTAATCATGCAATCTTACGTAACCGTTAATACCAGATGCCTCTTGACAACCAATCACCGAATTGTAAACCAAAACTTTTCTCTTCGCGTGCCTCCATCTTGCATAACTACGCACTTCAGCTTTTGCTCTCTACTGTCCTAAGATGTAATTTCGCTGGCTTGCTTTCTATCCCAACAACATCAAAAATGTAAATCTTCTATGGAAAGGCATGACTAGAGTGTCCAGTGATTGTGGCCACAAATATCAATTGGAAATAAAAATAGACTTAAAACTGCCTCAACTGCCAAGTTCTTTAAATACTACGCAATCAAAATTCTTCTTCAATATGGATCTAATCACGCATCTACACTGCTCCGTTATTTCCTTGTGCTTTTATTATATATATATATATATATATATATGTGTGTGTGTGTGTGTGTGTGTAAACATATACACATGGGTTAGCTTTTAGCTTTTTTTTTAATATAAAAGTAATAGATGCTATAGAAAAAAATCGATGGCATAGCAAATTATTTATATTAATTAGGATTTATTATGAAATGGAAAAACTGCATTAATTATTTCTAAGAAACAGTATAGCTTTGGCAAGACCTTCTTTGTTGGAGGGCCATCCGATTTGATAAACTTCAGAGCTGAGAACTTTCCACACTAACTTTAGTAGTAGTAGTAGTAACGGAGGACGTGGGCACTATCCCTCTACTATTACGGTTAATCGGTTCTGCCCACGTCCGCCTTTATCTAGTATTTATTAATAATTCTAAAAGTTTTAGATTGCCATATATTGTGGGCACTAACTTTAGTAGGAGGAAGAGCTTCTTTAGTAGCTTAACTTTAGTAGGGCTTTACTTCTTTTAACTTTTCAGGATAGATTTTATAAGTTCTAAAAGAGGTGTTTTAGTAACTAATTCCAGTTACCATCAGAGAGCATTAATTCCAGATGTAAGAGATAATCCACTTCGTTATTGATACACACACATTTTATTTACAATATAATACATTGGTTTACAAGCATTATTATTAGGAAAAGGCCTTCATCATTATTAGGCATAACACCTTCGTTCTTCCATCAAACTAAAGTTAAGTTACAGAATATCAACAGAGACAAGATGTCCGGAGTGCCACCTAACGGCGCAAACTATCAATTTATAACAGGTATCTTACAAGCGCAATCATATTTCTCTAGTTCTTCAAAGGCCATGTAGAAATCTTGTTTTTATTGTTTCATTTTTATATCTAAATGCTCTTGGTTCTTTATTTTCATTCGCTTTGTCTTAGCCTTTTCAATATTATCCAAAAATATTTCTCAAAATTTAATTCATCTTTGAAAAAGGATGATAGAGAATTCCAATGTCTGCAGTTTGACTGTTCAGATTCGAATTCTCCAATTGTTCTGAGAATAATTTCATTCTTAGTGAAAGTTCACAGATGGCTTTCTATGCCTTTTTAATCTGTTCATCATCCAAGAAAATTCGGTGTTTTGGATCTACATATATTGAACCCAACAAGATCTCATTTTCTAGCAAACTAGTTTCTCTTTTCTTCATTGAAGAAATTATTCCTTCTGCAATAAACCCTTCATTTCAGAAACAACAAACATTCCGTTCTTCTATTCTCGCCTCCTGTCAATTCTTCAGATTGCAGCTTTTTTGTGGCTATATATGGTGTAGACAGAAGAGTTTCCAATTCTGCAAGATAACTCCACAGTCTTTCTGTTAGTGAAACATTAGGGTTAAAAACCTCTTTATCATCAAATATGTACTTCCTTATCGCGTTGTTTGATCAATAATTGTTCCTTTTCCTGCTCGCTTCCTAAGAATGGCATCAATTTAGGGAGTTCTTGCTGCTATTGCTGCTTACCTAAATTTTTACCAGTGAGATTTGAAACTAAATGAATCAGTTTAATGACTAATGGCAAATATCACATCCATCCTCTTCCCTTATATTTATTAATATGGCAATAAAATAGAAAATAACTATTTATTAATGTATATAGTCCATAAATAAAATTAATAATTCAGCTTGTCATTAATTTTTTTCAATTCATTTTAATTTCGTTTCAAATTCAAACTGTCCAACAAAAACTGGAGTTGAAGTCAATCTGTTTTTAGTGACTCTAACTCCAACTCCTTCTACCCCAAAATCTGCTCGACTCCGATTCCGACTCCACAGCCCTGCTTGTTAGGATATTCTGACTATATATAATGCATTAACAAGATTTCTGAATACTTTTTAGTTACCTGATGAGTATGAAGTTTCAGCTAAGATCCTAGATACCATTTCACCATGTAAAGATGTTGCAGGGTATATTTCATTCATTTAATACAAATCTAGTTTGAATCTATGTAAATTTTAAACTTCAAATAATACAGAAAATTCAGACGTAAGTCCTTAATCTGTATAAATATATAGAATATTTGTGGAATTTTAATGGCTATTTTATCTGTTAATGTAAGTGTTCACTGTGCATGTTTTATTAATATCCTACTGGATAAATTCAGAAGAATGCAAAGATAATAGTATTAGTTTTTAAATAATATAACCCATATATTTATTTAATATTTGAAAAACCATTATTTTTAAATCATTTTTGTTTCCATTCTAACTTTTCTTAGATATGCATGTACTCTTGCCTAATTCTAGAAATTATCAATTTTCTGATAATAAAGCTAAGATTATTTCAACTGAGTTATTAAATATTCTTTTTTCTCCTTTATTATTCATAAAACTTCTTTTAAATGAGTACTGAATTATGCACTTATATTCTTATGAAAACCCATTGTAGAGATGTTGTGGGGTATATTTCATTCATTTAACACAAATCTAATTTGAATCTATGTAAATGCATGGTATGCAGCAGACAACTGCCACCTTTGGCAACAACAATGGCTGTAGTCTGGCTGGGCATGGATAACAGTTTAATACCCTCTGTATCAAGAAAGGTCAAGACAGCACGTGCAATATGTGGATAAACATTATCTTGTTGAAAGACAGCATAATGCAGGCCTTGAAGATAGAACACAACCATAAGCCTTAACACATCAGAAATGTAATAGTGTCAGTCCACATTTCTGCCTATGGAAACAAGATTGAACAGGATGTGTACCCAATGACACCTTATATGAGTATACCAGATGTAGGGCCTGTATGATGATAATGAAAGCAAGTTATCAGCATTCATTTTCTTTAGTGTCTTCACACATGGATACATCCATTGTGATGGTACATATTTGCTGAACTGGGATCAATTTGAAAAAACGACTTGGTGCCACTTCTGTGTCCAGTGGCCTCATGTGTTGTACCACTGTAGACATGCTTGTCTCTGCTGCAGCATTAAGAGAAATCTCAACAGTGGTCGCTAGTTTAGTCTGTGGCGCTGCAGACGTCATCTCACTGTTCATGGGACACTTGTCATCATGCACCCAAATCAAGTTCCTAATTCAGGATATCTGACATGGCTGCATAATCCCACACGGCCAAGAGGACAACATGTCTGTCATCTCAGGCATTGAGGACTAGGGGCTGCTGAGATCCTGCATGGCATTCAGTATAGCCCTCCTGGACCCACTGATTCCATATTTGCCTGACAGTTATGGGATCCTGAACAACACAAGTTGCAGTGTGGCAGAATGATAAACTACAGTCTCAGTAAGCCGTGATTCTGCAGTCAAATTCTAACACAGGTTGGTTGGAGTTTCTCATGCTTACACGAGGCACAGCATGCCCTTTTTATAGACCATGAGCATTCATATGTGATATATATATTCATATGTGAAATCTGCTGGGCAGTCTTCCTATTTAAACATGATGGTAGATGGCATTACTCATAACTGCTTTATGTGTGCACACTGGAATGCTAATTTGCTAATCACATGCAAATTAAAACTGGCCACCCTTTTTTACAGAAATATTATATGTTTGGTAATCATTTCACTGCCCTTAAATTTGGCCGCCCATGTGCTGTGCACCATCTTGTCTTCCACTAGGATCGGCCCTGCCAGCAGTTTACATGTTTAGTAACGCATTTAAAATGTGAAGTATTAAATAAAATTCTCCTCCCTTTATTAATTGAAAGTAACTTATAAGTAACCTGAAATAAAGAGGTAGATTGAAACTGAGTTGATGATAATTCTAGAAGATGAGAGAAAATAAGTTGAACCTTCATACTGACGCTTCATCATAAAAATAATCAGTATGGCACCATTATCAATATATCTTACTGATAAAGTTGCTGCAGCTTAAAATTAGCTTGCTTAACATTGGTTATTGTTCACCAAGATCTTTGCAAGAATGGTTCAGCATAAAATTACCCATACGCTTATGAAAATCAGTATTTAATTTGAAAAAATGATGCCACATCGTAAATGCAACAGTATCTTTATATTAAAGTATCACTATACAAATAAGCTCTGTAATACTTCTTTGGCGAAATGAAGCAACTCCAATGATGGAACACAGCAATCTTTTTATTTAACACTCAAAATATGGCGACATACAAACAAGAAGAGAAAACATATTCTAACATTTAAAAATAAAATTACATTCTTCGTGCGAGAGTCGCACGAGGCACTCGAGTCTGGTTTCAAATATTGCCATTCACAAATACCTTAATGTTCATCTATTTAAATTATTTAAACTACAAGATTTTAATAATATGTAAAGCTGTTACAGCTCTTAGCTTGCTTTTCTGATTAATACCATAAAAAGTCCTACTTGCAGAATGGTTTCCCGGTGTAAAGGTAAAAGTACCTTTATGTAGTGACACTCTTGTGAATGTTTCTGTCTTGACAAACAAAGGAAATGATCTACTGGCATTTTATGATAGATTACTATTATGCAGAGATCCATTTGGACAACAAACTAGAGAGATTAGAGAATATTAGGACTTGAAGACATGATGAGTAAGATTTAAGATTTAATACAGCAACTTGGTGCAAGATGGATAATGATAATGATAAGTAATCTATAGTACTTGCCATACAAATAGTATTGTTAGAAATTATATTGGCAGTTTTGAGTTAATTTTCTGAATGTCTGTAATAGTCTAAAAAAATCAAGATTTTACTGTTGTAAGATATTCACTTGATCAAAATTAAAGCTAAAATATGAATATTAGTGTTTTTTAAAAAGGCAGCTTTTAATGCTTTCTCAATGGGATATATTTTAAATATGGTTGCATCATTCCTGATTGCTTCAGCTTGTTTATCGCAGTTTTCCAACGGCTGTAAACATGTCTTTTTAACTCTCCTATGTAATACTGATGAATAAATTGTGTTTTGATTCTTCATCAAAGGTTGTCATCAATCACTCCTTCACGAACCTGTAGAACGCAACAGTATGTAATAAAATATAATCTAAATTTTTGTATTGCAAGCCTTTCTAATTATTGAACAACAAAATAGATTTTGTTTACAAGCGATCACCGAAAATGACACTTTACTTAAATCATGTTTAGTGGTAGCTGTAAATATTATTAATTTCATTTCAGTATTACTTCATGTATTATCGTATGTTCTCTTAAAATTTATTAAAATTTTTTTTGAAAATTTATTATTTTATAGAAGTATAGCTGGAATTTCAAGGCACATATGTATATATTGTTTTGTATATTGCAGAAAAATATTGTATTTAAAAAACATGTTAATAAATAAAGATTCATATTTTAAATTTCAGAATGAAACAAAAGCATAATGAAAATTTAATTGAAGTTGAGTCATTTTCTTCTTGTGCTGCTTCTGCTGTTATAGCATTAATTAAAAATACTGGTAATGACATTAGCTTATTGTTGTATCTTTTTTTCAAAAGCTGTGTTCTTAAAAATGTTACATATTTGTATTGAATAAACTTTCATTTTTTATTATTTATTTATTTACTTTAGAATTACCTTTAGAAAATGCAAATGTTTTTGTTCTTGGAAAGGAAAGAATTGTTCTTCCTATATCAGAGATATTACTAAGCCAAAATGCTGTTGTTTCAGTATGCAGAACAGCTCATGAGAAGGTTCCAGCAGGAGTAAGTAATTTTATTTTTAGCATTACTGAAGCACATTTTTAGCACTTACTGAAGTAATCAACCCTTGCCTATCTCATGAATTTTTTTTTAATGAAATGAGAGCCATTTAATGCTTTGTTTCACCTAAATATGTATTGTTTTTAGCGTTTTTTGAAGTCAGAATTAACTTTAGAAATATTAACTTTAAAAATTTTCCAAATCTTAAGTATATCACTGGCTAAAAAGTATGCAAACTTTATCCAAAATATTACAACTATAACTTATGCTGATGTTCTTCTGAAGCCTTTAATTAAGAGTATAAGTTTATTTCTGTAGACTCTCTAGTAGAAACTCTGAAACTAGTTTATCTCTGTGGAAGAAATCTATATCTTTAGTATTTGTGACTCTTAATGAACTGTCAGTCTGTTCTCTAAGTAGTTTTTGTCATACTACATTGCATAGATTTGAAGAGAACATTAAATTTGCAGTTGCTTCAAAATTTCAACATGTTGTTTGCTAACTTAAAATGTAAAAAAATAAATAATAAATAAATAAATACAAATTTTAAAATTTTTAAAAAAAATAAAAATAAAAAAATTAAGTAAACTTTTTTTAAAATCATGACTCTTATCAAATTCATTATTAATCTGAAAAGCAGAATTAAAATAACGTAGTAAGGGAAAATACTATAATTAATAAGAAATATGAATAAATTTATTTATTTTTCGATTAGTTATACTGAAAGTTATATTATCTATTATTTTCATTAATTTAATGAAAAATGATGTTCAATTTACAATTATTTTTGCTTTTACAATTTACAATTATTTTTAATTATAATTGTATTATTTACAATTATTTTTGCTTTAGAAATTTAAGAACCATAAACTATAAATGATAAATAAGACCTATATTAAAATGACCATTGCTAAAATTTCAATGATTTAAACAACTATGCTTTCAAGAAATGATATGGTAACTGCATATTTCATGCTTTTTAGTTGTATATTTATTTTTTTTTTCCTTTTATTTTGTGTCTGTATATATGAATTTTTAATTTTCTTCATTGTTAAATTTTGTCTGTTTTATATTCACAGGTAAAAGATTCTGATGTTACAATTGTTACTTCTAAATCTACAAATGATCTTTGGAAGTATGTTAAATCTGGAGCCATTATTATTAATTGTGTTGCTGCTTCTGGAGGTAAACTTACTCAACATACTTAAATTGACACCTTATTGTTGTAAGATTGCTTTTTAACTTTAATGTTCGTTTAATATAAAGAAAGATTTTTTTTTTCCGTGCATCAACTTGATGCTTGTTTAAATAATCATGTGTTCAAAGCAAAAAATGCATAATCAATATAATCAATATTGTCTTGTCGTAATGAATGCTTGTACTGGCCCACACAGATGTGGAAAAATTTGCATATTATAATTATGTAATTAAAAACAGAAAATGGTTTCGTAATTGATAAATGTTGAAGAAATTCAGAAACCTGAATTATAAATTGAGCAAAATTTTGCCTTAGATTGTTATATATTGTAAAAAAGATCTAAATGAGAGGATATGGTTCTCATCTATCTCAGTGGGCATTTTATAATGCATAGAAGATTTTTCCAAAATTAATGGTATTCTAATATCAAGTTTTTAATAATTTTATAATTTTTATAATTGAGAGTCCACTTTTATTAAATGTGATTAAGTGAGATTAAAAAATGACTTGTAACTGTGTTATATTAATCTTGAAATTCACTGAAACTTTCCATTACTTTAAGAGCATAGCTATTTGATACACATGATTCAAATGTCGCTGTAGAAGGAGTGCTTCTGCGTATTGAAAATCAGGAAATATTTTGGTACTAAGATGTTGGTAAACATGTTGTATGAAACTTTTAATTAGTTATTCATTATGGATATGGTGCTATTAAAGTTTTTTTTAATTTTAACATCTGATAAAGTGAGAAGAAAAAGAAATGATTAAAACAATAATCAATTTTTGTGCCACCATCTAAAATATAACTAAACTAAAAGTGCTAGATGGCATATTACATGATTACCAAGATGCCTATGGAACATTGCAGCAAATAGGGAAAAGCTGTTACAAAACAAATATGATATAATGCGTTATGAAATTTTTTGCCATATTCTAATTTTATTTTTATTTTCAGTTAAAATAATCATTTAATACTGATTAATTTTAATCATTATATACTGATTCGTATTGAAATATAATTACAGCAATATAAAAAAGGCCCACTTTTTTATTACTCTCTATTTCAGCTATTTTTAATTTTGACCAGAACCCATATATTTTATATTGAATTTTCTCATTTTATTATGCTTTTATGACCTCCTACATTCTTTACAATGATATAATGTTCAATCACAACATGATTTAAAGCAATAAAATACATAATCGAAATTGGTTTATGTTTTTTCATGCTTCTGCATTGGGCCATATAGGTAGGAGCTTAGGAAACTGAAGATATATTAGTGCAAAATAAGCGAATGAGTTAAAATAAACTTTGCTAAAATAAATAAATGCTGCATTATTGAAGAGAGTATTGCAAAATGTGTATAATAATTATTAGGTAACTGTTAGCTTCTAATAAGATTTTGTTAAGTATGAAACACTATCAATTGTTCATCAGTGCTATAGACTCATAAATTCTATTGTTCTTTGTTAACAAATACCTTAATGTAAGTTAAACTAAAGGCTTTGAGAGCTGAAAACAAAAGCAAGGTTTAGCAATCTATCACAGTTCTGGCTGCACTGAAACTGTGCAAATTTAACTCTGAAGCCAGCAAGCTATTTTTCGCTGCCATCTTTCCATTATCTGAAAGAATGAGAGTATTCAATATTTCAAATTATGTGATTTTGTACTTGTCTTCCAGCTTTTCATTATAAACCCTGACTGACATTTATATTATTACTATTTTCCTTTATTTTTAACTTTTTATCCCTGGACTTTTGAATACCATATTTGCTTGTATATTCCCTGCCCCCATTTTTTTGCTAATTTTATTGTCTCAAAATTAAGAAGGAAAAATTATGTGGATAATTTAATTTCCAAAAAATGTGGTCATGATAAGGATATAGTGAAAGATATGTTAACTTATTTTTACTTCTCTCTTGAATCTCACCCACTCTTATCCACTGCTATTGTCTAGACTACAATTCATTTAACACTGCTCTAACTGCTGCTTGTTTTGTCTACTATAGGTTGTCAAGCCATTGCTATCATCTTCATCATCATTCAGTCTGCCTTCCCACATACAATTATCTTCAGAACCATTAAGAACATTAGATATCCCATTTTCCTTAGAGCTCTTAGCTCATCAGTCAGAACCTATGCGCTCAATATTCATGAGAAAATCAATTAGTAAGACGAAAACAACCACTATTTGGATGAATCCATTTTAAAATTTGGGGTAGCTCGCTTTCTGAATGCCTTAAGGAAAGAGAAAATTTAAAATACTTTAAAAATTTTTCAGAACCTTATGCAATAAAATTAGGAGGAAAATATGTGAGAGCAAAAAATAGACTAAATATGGCACAGTTTGGGGGAGTTAGATGTGATTGTTTAGCTTTCAAATATATTCAAAGAACAGTGTTTACTTTTTTTTAAAGTTTATTGATAGCCAATAACATATAAAATAAATTTGGAGGGAGAGGCATATTTTTTTTTAAAACTATTGTATGTGCTAGCTGTATAATAAATGGTTAGCCATAAAATAGTGGGAAAGTTCATTCTTTGTTTTTATCTGAAGTATTTTTTAAAATTAAAAAAGAATATTAAAAAATGTACTTTAAAATATTAAATTTCAGTTTTTATCTAAACTTAAACTATCTAACTTTATCTAAACTTATTAAACTTTTTAAAATTTTAAGAAATTTTAATATTCAAAATGCATTATATAATTTAATATAAATGTGTCAATGGGAAAATTGTTATGTCTTTTCTTTGTAAAATCTCTCCCCTTCTCAAAATATTTAGTTTACTGTTTGAAATATGAAACTGAAGCAACAGATGACATTTTATTTTATTTTCTCCCAGTAATTTATTTCCATAAATTATTTCCAGTCATATGTAAGTAAAAAGGATTTACGCATTAAATATTTATGTCAGAATATAATAGAAAAAAATCATCTTCTAACCATACTAGTGACATTAGAGTTTAATGATATCATGTACTGATTTTGAATATAGCATAAATTATAGCCTAGTCAACATGAACATTTCTGTTGTGGCATTGTTATAATCTAATGGGGGCACTATTGAAGGTGTTAGTATGTAAAAACACTATCACCAACAGCATACATCACTCACCTCTTTTATTGTGAAACTGACCTTTAGTAGTTTATAAGGTTAGTCAGCATTGTAATCACCTAATACAGTCAAAAGTCGTTAATCTGGACTTCGGCGATTCCGGATTATTGATTTTTCCGAATTATAGATCATCAGTTTAAATCTGATAAGATGGCATGCAGAAATTACAAAATTAAAAATATGAAACTAATTTATGAAATAAAGAACAATTATGATCTAAAGGGTATCAAAATTTACAAAAAGAAAAAGTTTAATATTTATTTGTTTACTTTATTAAACATTTCTTTCAATGTAAGTTGTTTAAGTTGCTTTGTTTTATGTGCTAATACTTTCTCTTTAATTCTATATAAACAGACATAATTTCCTGTTCAGTTACAAAGTTCCGCTGTTCAAGTCCTGTAATTGCTGTGCCGAGAATACCGACTAACTTGTCAATCCAAATTTTTTCGTTTTCACTAACCTCTCTGTCACTTTCTTCATGCCTTTATCCATTTTTGCAGCAATTCCACTTTTTGTTTGATGGACATCGAAACGTACTTTCGCTTTGTTGATCCTTTGGGAGCTCCAGCATCAGAAATTCTATTTGACATAATCGAAAGTTCAAGCTTACTTTTATAAAATTGCTCTAACAGTCTGCAAAAAATAATAAGCTGGATCCAATTCAAAGATTAAGGAACAACGCAATCTGCAACATTAACTGAAATAGATAATTAGATAATTTTAGCTTAGCTTATACTGTCCGTTATACATTAAACGCGCATACGTAAACGTATTATGCACTTGCGCACATGCATATGCGCAGTTGTAAAGATCTTATGCACATGCGTCAGTGCGACGCATGTGCAGAAAGTTTGTAGCTTTGAGGTCCGAATTAACGATTTTTGACTGTATCCATACTGAGTCCTAATTTCACAGGTCATAGAGAATTTGGAGAATGCAATAAGCAAGGCATTATGAATGCCATTGATCAGCAAAAGTAGTATTTAAAGAACCAAGGTGAGTATGAAATACTTCTCAGAGCCTGTATTCTGAAGCCTCTGAATCATTTTCTGTTTTTCTTTGTCACAGCGGTCCAGATGAGAGAGTGTTGTCGATTTAATTAAAGAATCATGTAAAAATTTTTTTCATTTGAACTTTTAACTTTGAGATATGTCAGATTATTTTGTAGATATCCTTAAGGGCCTTGTGATCTGTGTCTCTAACATAAACGATGTGAATTTTAAAAGTAAGTTTTACGTTAGTAAATATAATCATTATGACCAGACTTTGTGGAATTATAGCAGTATGAATTTGTATGTATATTATCGTATCTCTTGACCCCAGTGGCTTCTAAAAGTGAAAGCTGAACTCTTTCTGCATTGATTTTTAATTTCCTGCCCTTTAACCAATGAACAATTTGATATAAAGAATGCTGTAATTGTTTTTACTGTAAATCAGAGGCAAACGGACTATACCTTAGTGTCACCGTACCGTGCTAGTATTTTCTCTATATTAGCGATATCATTAACATAAATTGACAAAAGTAGTAGAGTAAATTGTGGAGTGCACATGCGTTAAATACATTTAATAGCTGAGAAAGAGTTTCCATTTTTCATAAAAACTATCTATCTGTTCAGGACTGCCAGGAAGAGTTTTGGTGCATGATACAATCTTCTGAGCCTAAAAAAATGTGTTCATAAATTCTAAATGTACCGGCTCAGAAGCCGACTCTGTTACCTGTCAAGAATTCCTGATAAAGAAGATCAGTTCAGGCAAATAATTCTGTTTAATTAATTTCAGCAGTAGATTTTGTGCCATGCCTTGTCAAATGTTTCCTCATTGTCAAGGAAGAAGGCAACCACAGTTATTTTTACTTCCTTGTACGAAGTAAAAAGGAAGTATTGTATTCGCAAAAAATTTCGGGTATCATATTTTGATGAAAATATCCATTTTGGCCGCTATCAAATGCAATTTAACGATGTTTTTGTGTGACATCTGTACGTAAGGACAAGGTAAGACTCTTTTTCCTCAAAAAAAGTTCCTTATAAAACTGAACGTTAAAATTTTGTATATACGACTGCTATAACATGTAGATGTGTACCTCCCATTTTGGTTTCCAATTGGCAGCACCAAAAGTATCTAAATATATGTGTTACGGCCAAAGCCCGAATTCGGCCAGTTCCCGAATTGGCCGGCCAAATCGCAAAACAACCAATATCGCCTCACAAGTTTTTTCATGGATATCGCATACCTCTCCTATATGTCTGCGGCTGTTCTAATAAATTACATTACTAACTAGTGTAAATAATATCTCTAGATATATAGGTATTCTCTTGAATTTTTGCTTAATATTTAAATTTGTGAAGCATTCTGTTTGAATACTCACATGTGAATTTTTCTTTTTAAAATTAATTCATACTAAAGGTACATTTAAGTTACCGATGTTGGACCGTGATATGGAGTTCATGTCAATATTATATGTTTTGTATGGTATTTATGCAAAAATGTTTCTCATATCTGTGAAAAATTAAATAGCAGATGTACTCAAAGAGCTGTAAGAACTCTAAGTAAAGTAATATCAGTTTGAAATGCATATTAAGTTTAAGAATGCTGTTTCAGTTAAATTGAATATATTGAAGTTAAGTTGTATTATTATTTGGAAATTCATGTCAGTATTTCCTGTTATGCAGGATTTACGAAAACTTCAAAGACTATCTAATTCATTCAAATTTTTCTACATTACATACTGCTTTAGAAGATAATACCCATCTTAGAACTATTTTATTAACATAATATTAGGAACTAAATATGAAGTATACATGTTCTACTGTAGAATATTTGCTATTTTACTCAAATGAGGATAGAAACTTTACCGAATTTAAGTTATTTACATAAAATTCCCAACGAGTTTTAGAGAAATTTGCAATAGAAAGCAACTATTTTTACCTAAAAAATGAGTCTTAACAGATTCTTATCGGCTTCAGATTTACTATGAGTGGGAAAAACTGAAGCTCCCTTTATGAGTATACACACAAAAATCATTAATTATTTCATAGTACAATCAGCCCTTTAGATACACTTAATACGGATTCAACCTAATTTTAACATTAACTTTCACTTAGAATTTTCAAAAATTTCAATAATTATGCTATATATTATTAGTCCCATGCACTATTGGGAGAAAATGCAATAGAATGTCCAATACCCAATATACAAGCTGAGAAAATCCCATTCATTAAGGAGCAGTTAACTTTTGCATAATTTTCGATGAAATGTAAGATCTTGTAATACGTCATTACAAAACCTGAGTAGGATAAAAAAAAAAAATCTTGACGCAGAAGAAAATATAAACAAATATAAAAATTTAAAAACCTGATATTTATTTCTTTTCAAAAAGTACTATTCAAAAAAAATCTTAAAACAAATCAATTTCTTCACCTACATACAAACTTTGAACATTAGTCAGTACATCATTTACATTAATAACATCAAAAAAGTCATCAGTAACAATTAGGTTACTAAAATTTATATTGCTTTTATTTTGAAGAATAAAGTCCTTTGCTATGTCAGTCCAATTAACTGTAAACAAAGCTTGGTCAAAATAATTTTCACACTTTTGGGCACGGCTTGTTGATAAGCATTCATGTCCTAGCTGATTGTTATAACCTACTTGACAACCAAAACATACAAAATGTTCTGTAATTTTGTTAGAAATAAATTTTTCAATACACTTACACAAAGAGTCCTGCAATTCATGAAATCCATTTGGACGGTCAGGATCACCAGCATATTCACGTTCAAAATGTATATCAGCAACCAACTGCTTTCTCACGAAATAGTTAAGAGCTTTAGAAATAAGGGGGGGGGGAGTTTCTTTCAGGACGGCACATATTTCGCTATATTTTGAGTCAAGTTTAAGTAAATGTTCTTTCCTCAACAGAACATGTTCCGGTACGAATTCCAGTCTAAAATCTTTTCTTTGAAATAATCTTTGTAGTGATATAATTATTTCACCTTTGACATTTTGTTTCGAAACACATACATCATTCTTTACAATCGAAACGCTTTCAGAGTCTTCAAAGAAAGCAAATGTATTTGCATGATCGCAGAATTCTTTCCATACTAGTGGAGACAGCGAAACTCCATCTTTGGTAGGATGTAACAGATCATTCTCATCAGTCACATATTTCCGCACGTGAACACGAGTCAAACCTATGAAACACGATACAGTCACAAAAATATCCCCTCCGAGATGAAACATATTCTTTGGCAAAGAATCAAGCTTCAGCAAAGTTTCATCATTTGAAGCACAGCGAAACATTTTTGATGATAAACATGAATTTGCATGTCGACTCAGCCAGTCATCCTGACGTATCTCGTCTTCTAAACGTGCTTTCTTGCGTGGAAAAATCTTTTTATTCATACACGGTTTTGGGGTTACGGAATTAATTATACCACCGTAATGATTAAAGTCCATTTCAACACACGAACGCTTCCCTTGCGGAAGTAAAATTTTTCTGAACGTCAGACTAATTCGAGTAGTCTTCACTTCGGGTTGGGTTGGGATACTGTGTTTCCAGACTGTGTTCGTAGGGGTTTTCATCACAAGAAGCGATCCGTGTTCCAGACTCAGAATGTGAGTCATATAATTCTCCCTCATAAAATGCATCTCTCGCGTCGAACCGTAACTCAGTGTGGGAATGCTGCACGAAGGGTCTAGCGCGCTTTCAGCGTCTCTGTGCGCGGAGATCTTGGCTTCTCCGTCAGGGTATTTGTTGAGCAGAACGTAATTATATTTTTCGTGGGTGAGTGCTTCAACTTCATTTTTAATTTGCTGCAGCGTAGGAGTCCAGGGCTGGGCGGCGACCGACGTTCCCGAAAAACTGTAAGTGAGTCCATCATCATCCCCGAAGGCGCAGCAAAGTCGAGCTGGAACGTATTGCCGTCCATAAATATTCAGGTTTAAAGGCTGGAATGGATAAGCGCACAATTCCGTAAATATGGAATCTGCTTTT